ATTTTTGATATTAAATATTTATACTATACTAGAGTGAAAATCGAAGAACCTAGAAAGAAAAGAATGATTCCACAGTGCACCCGTTGTCAGCAGTATGGCCACACGAAGGCTTACTGCAATCACTCCCCGAAGTGCGTTAGATGTGGCCAAGGACATGATAGCACCCTCTGCCAAAAGACAAGAGAGACCGCAGCAACATGCGCGAATTGTAGCGGATCCCATCCAGCAAATTATAGAGGTTGTGCAACTCTGAAACAACTGAGAGAAGTACGAAATCTCCGTAAAAATATACAAAGTCCCCAAAAAGCACAAACTAGCGCACCCCCAGGTATAGACGAGTTTCCTTCTCTTCCGCAAAGTCAGCAAACCGCAAATTCAGGTTCTTCAAAACCCGATTCCCAATATCTAGGACCAAAACTGCGAACTTCCCCTACAGAAGTCTCAGAAAATCACCTTCACCAGCCAAAGCATTCAGAAATGAAAAAGGGCTTTACTCAGCCGCCGCCACCGACTTACAATCACCCGGCTTCAGCTCAGCTCTTCAACTTGGTAAGTGGATTGAATAACCTCATCCAGCCTCTTTTCAGCCTTCTCCAAGAACTGTCTCACGTTGCACAAGCCTTATCCTCCAGTTATGGCTACTAATCGGCTGACAGTGGGCTCCATGTCCGTTCTTCTCTGGAACGCAAATGGTATAAACCAACACAGGACCGAACTTGACATGTACTTACATGAAAAACGGACTGACATTGCTCTCATCACTGAAACACACTTGACTCCACATTCTAAATTTTACATTCCAGGCTACAAAATATATAGAACTGACCACCCTGATAAGACGGCACATGGCGGTACGGCAATACTGATTAAGCAATCACTAAAACACAACCCTTTACAATTACCCATTACACCTGACATACAATCCACAGCAATTACTCTGTATACCCAGCACCATACCATTACCTTCGCTGCAGTGTACTGCCCTCCGAGATACGTGCTAACATCTGCAATGTTTTACAATTTCTTCCAACATCTCGGTCGGTGTTTTATTGCAGGTGGTGATTATAATGCCAAACATCAGTCCTGGGGAGCACGACTCTGTACTCCTAGAGGAAGAAATCTAAAGTCTGCCATCGATCAGCTTTCATTAAACACGATCTCACCTGATACACCTACTTACTGGCCAACTTCAAGACAGAAAACACCAGATTTACTTGACTTTTTCATTACTAAAGGACTCAGGACAGTGCCGTATACTGTAACTGCAAGCTCTGATCTTTGTTCTGATCATTCTCTTCTCAGTTTGTTACTATGCGATGAGCCTCGTACTGCATCAACAAAACCAACACTTACAGATAGGATAATCGATTGGGAAGCTTACAGCGACTACTTAAATTCGACGCTATCAATCCCAATGTCCCTTAAGACCGAAGAGGAACTCGAAAAAGCTGTTGATAAGTTCACAATCAGCTTACAACAGGCTGTATGGTCATCATCTGTACCAAGACCCAGCAGAAATACGTCTCTTCCAATCTATCCGCAGTACATTAGAGACCTGATCAGAGCAAAGAGAAGAGCGCGCAAAGTGTGGCAGACTGGTCGACTCCCATCTGACAAACGGACTTTCAATAGACTTAACAATGAACTTAAACGTCAGATTCAGAATTTTAAAAGAACGATCTACGACAATTACCTCAAAAATCTTTCGACTGACGATGGAAGCTTATGGAGACAGACTAAGAAACTTGTAAAGCATCGTGAGGTGTCAGCACCACTCCGAAACGTAGATGGTTCCTGGGCTGTGTCAGACCTTGAAAAATCTGAGCTCTTTGCCAACCATCTTTCTTCTGTTTTCACACCACATACTGACTTCTCTAATACTGATCACGATAGACATGTACAAAACACTTTAGACATTCCTTTACAACTGTCATTACCTCCACTTTGCTTCGCTCCAACTCAAGTTGCAGAACAAATCAGACAGTTACCTAAAAAGAAAGCTCCCGGTCATGACCTGATAAATGCTCAAGTGCTCCAGAAAATGCCAAGGAAAGCTCTAGTATACCTAACATCAATTTATAACGCAATACTCAGAACGACTAAATTCCCCTTACAATGGAAATATTCATTCATAAAAATGATTCACAAACCTAACAAAAACACTGACATTCCTTCATCATACAGACCCATCAGCTTGCTCCCATTATGTTCTAAAATCTTTGAGAAACTTCTCTACAAACGACTTTTTGACATACTGACTACTGAAAACATAATACCTGAACATCAGTTTGGATTTCGTTCACACCACTCAACCATTCATCAGCTACACCGAGTGACAGACTACATTGCGACAGCACTAGAGCACAAATTATATGCAACAGGAGTATTTCTGGATGTTGCTCAAGCGTTCGATAGAGTCTGGCATCAGGGACTTCTTTTCAAACTTAAGACTATACTCCCTCCAACCTACTATCTTATTCTTCAATCTTTTCTTTCTGACAGATTTTTCTCTGTTTGCCAAGGTACAGAACTATCTACCATTAAACCAGCCCTAGCAGGGGTGCCTCAGGGGTCAGTACTCGCTCCTCTGTTGTATATTATTTACACATATGATATTCCAGATCCTCTCGATACTCTGACCGCGACTTACGCAGACGATACAACAATCTTGACAAGGCATCAAAATTCAGCATACGCCTCACAGACTTTACAATATCACCTAAACAATTTCTACGACTGGTGCAAACTCTGGAAAATTCGACTCAACCTAGACAAATCACAACATATCACTTTTACCCTTCGACGTGAAACTTGCCCCCCTATTTACCTTGACAATATCCAAATTCCTCAGACTGACAAAGTTCAATATCTTGGACTGACCTTTGACAGAAGAATGACATGGGGCCAACATATTAAAAACAAAACAAAAACTCTAAACCTAAGACTACGCCTATTGTACTCACTCCTTGCAAGAAATTCGAAATTAAAACTTAGACAGAAATTGAATACATATACTTACCTACTCAAGCCTATTTGGACCTACGCTTTACAGATATATGGGACAGCCAAAAAGACTCACATACGTAAATTACAGACTTTTCAATCTAAAACTTTCAGGACTATCACCAAAGCTCCCTGGTACGTCAGTAACATTACTCTACATAAAGACTTACAGATGCCAACAGTTAACGACCACATACGAACATACTACAAACGATTTCATAATAACTTACACGGACATACAAACTCATTGATTCGAGGCATGGCCACAACTAACATGCCCGATAACACCCGAAGGAGGCTTAAAAGAAGCTGGATGAGGGATCTCCTCCACTAACTATAAACATTGCGGTCAAGACAGGAAGGACGCCGCTGGGTACTCCTCTCCCTCACGCCTATTCCAAGACCAATCTCTACATATTGACATCACACTCGCTGATTGTCGGAACTTCTGACAGGTGTGAGTTGAAGAATCAAGTTCAAAAAAAAAAAAAAAAAAAAAAAAAAAATTCTGACTGAAGGAGCAAAGTGAGTCAAATGTTTTTTTATGGAGAAAACAAATTGAGATTTGAATTTCGCACTTTGGAAAACCCTCAAATACGATTTTGTTATCATCATCATCATCATCATCATTGAATAGCACTATGCTCCTTGAACCTTGGCCTCCTCTACTATCTTCCTTCAAACTGTCCTTCTTCATCTGCCTCTCTCCATCTAATTACAATATTATTAAAGGCAATTAAAATACAAATAAATTTAAATGAACGTTTATTTATCAAAGTATAAAGATCACATATAATTCACCTTCATGAAACTCAATTTCGTATCTATTGACTTTGAGATAGTTATTATCTACATGACATATGATAATCATACATCCATTTCTGACACTTTTCACACTATTCCTTCATATATTTCTCCCATTTACATCCATAATTGATATGATAATCTCTAGATGACCTTCTCTTGTCATGAAAGAGAATCTTTTTTGGAAATAACAAGAACATAAGCTCTCCTCCTTGGTTCTATTGATAGTTGTTATCTGTTGTTATTGTTGTTGTTGATCTGAATTTTATCTGAGTTTTTTAAAAAATCCCTTCTATGTTAAAACAAAATCAAGAGATTTGTTCCCTGAGATAATTTTTATGTTATAATTGTTCCAGGAGGTGGGTAATAATATTTTCTATGGTAGTCTACATTCTTTTTCAACACTTCTTCAATAAAGAAAAAATAAATAAATCTTGGCTCTCACTATGCTATTCAATTTTCTCATTAAATGCTTCTAATCTGGACTGTGATCACTTACGGTCAGTAGGTGGTCACTCTCCTGAATCTGATTGATTAACGTCAAAACCTTCTCCATTACTTTCTTCATTCAGGCATTATTTCCTAATTATGAGATCTGAAGATACATAAATTTTTGTTTCTTGGTCTTGGCACATTACATAGTGGAAATAAAGAAAATGTTTGAAACCTATGATGTTTGAAGATTATCTATTAGTAATAAAATTAATAATTATCCATTGAATTAATCATCATAAATCAGTTTGAATTTATTGTGTTTAAATAAATAGATAAATATGTGTAATAACAATAATATAAATAGTGGAATAAAAATTAATAATATATTTGGCCATCAGTAGATTTTGTAATAAGGAATATTATTCTAAACTAAAGTGACGGATTCAAAAGATTAATCTAAAAAAGTTGCTTCTAAAAAGGTTACCTTGGATTAATTATTTTTTCTATTTATTTTTAATAATTTTATAAATATTAAGCATGGAGAGTTTTAAGAAAACAACAGGAAGTGAGTGAGTGGCACATGTCAACCACCCGCCCACTGGATAGGAATAATTTTTTCTTAGTTGCTGAAATAAACCATAAATTGATTTAAACTTAGTTAAATTGAGTTAATAGAAATTAAATTACCTATAAACTGAGTAAAAATTAAGTTGCTAATAATTATTCATAAGAATTTTTTTTTCTTTATAAATCTACAGGTCAATAGATATAAACCTGAAATAATTTGGTCTGATGGAGAATGGGAGGCATCTAGTAAATATTGGAAAGCAGAAGAATTCTTGGCTTGGCTGTACAATGAAAGCCCAGTTAGAGAAACCGTGGTGGTCAATGACCGCTGGGGTCAAGAAACTTTATGTAAACATGGAGGATACTTTACATGTGCAGATCGTTTTATTCCAGGTAATATTATTACCAAGGTTTAGTTCTTGATTCAATTAATTTTTCATAAATGATGCCCACTCTTATCATTAGAATTGTTCCCTGTAATTGTCTTAGGTTTCTATTTTTTGTTTACTGTTTTGGCTAATGGCATTTAATAATAGCATTATGTCAACAATAATTGTTAAATTATTCAATTGTTGTGGTTTAACAAAAAAGGAAACAAAATAAAGAATTAGTTCAGTCAAGATTGTCATTGTTATCATTATGTTCTACTGAAGTAATGATGATAAATAGTCAGGAAGCAGTAATTTTAAGATTTCTGATGCTTCAACCGAAACGTGTATGTCATATTAGGATCGAACATCAGCAACAATAAAAATCTTAAAATGACTGTGTCTTTACTGTTTATCACCCATGATATGTAGAACAGTCGACTATCTTCCTTCAATAATTAATTCCAAAAATTAGTCTAATATAAGATGAAAGAATCAGGTTTTGTATATTTGGATATTATTATTTAATATTGGATACATGTTCAAAACAAAAAGAAAATCAAAACCATAGTTAAAATTATTTTTATAAAATAGATATCAAAGAACAATGCATGATTTTTATATATTGGGTTAGAAGATTGTTACATAAAATGGGAAATATGCTTAATAACTTTGTAAAACAGCCTATTTTATGAAAGAACTATCAGAAACAAAAACTTGAGAATATTTATTTATTAAACTTTTAAACAAATATTTTTACTATGAAAGTATCTAATTGTTAATCAGTCAGATATATATTTCTATGTATTCTATATATTTTTTAGGAAAACTATTGGGACGCAAATGGGAAAATGCTTTAACGATTGATAAAGGAAGTTGGGGATACAGCAGATTAAGCCCTATAATTAATTATCTTACAACACAGCAGCTGATTGACATTATAGTCCAAACTGTCGCTTTTGGTGGTACTTATTTTTTCTATTCCACGACATGTTATAAAAATGAAAATAAAAAAAATTGTTTAATAATTTACTTAAAAGGTTACATATTGATTTTATATATATATATAGAAAGAGGAAGTAGTCAATAAGTAAAAAAATCATTTTTCAAAATCTCATCTCAAAATCTAGTTATCCTGACTCTTCATTTAAAAGCTTTAAATAAGCAATATATAGTTGTAAATACACTACAGAAGAAGTGTACCTTCTCATTGTATCTGGAATATATCAGAGTTTCTCTCAATCATTCCAAGATTAATCCATAGGACCCAGTGTCCTTAGATTTTGGACACTTTAGGGCAATTGCCGTATGAGCTCCATCCTTCCTCCCAGAGAAAATAAAAATGTAATTTAGGAGTAGAAAATAAAGAGATAAAAATAAAGATAAATCTGAAGGACATTGTATATTACTTTATATTTTAATTGCTATATCTCTAGATCAGTTACTTTTTTAATTGGTTAAAATTAACTAAACTCATACGCTTTATAATTTTTCATTATTCCCAAGGCACTGATAGGACCTCCAGAAGAGCAACTGTGCTTGTCTTAAATGTCTCTAATTTTTTAAATTTAATTTTCCTTGTTTCTCATCCAAAAAGTACTCAATCCTCTTAATTAGATAGGTCTCATAAATAAATTATAAGGACTTAGGTGATTCTTTTTCTAATGAAGTTAAAATATTCCATTTATGGGATGATTCAATCAGTTGCCTATTTAGTAGAAGACGAGCAGGATAAAAAAATACTGATTTTGATTGTTTCCCAAATTACAATATTGTTCAAATTTTAATTAGGCTATGTATGGCAAGCTTATCAATCCTATCAAAGAAGAGACTTGTTATATTTTAGGAAAAATTGAATTTTTTTTACTATTTTATATATCAGACTTACTTTTAATGTCCTTCACCTTTCTTGTACTAGTTTAAAATAATTATAGTATGATTAGATCCATGGACAATTCTCTGGTTTGGAAATGCTTCTATATATAAATAGATTAATGAAACAAATTATGATGTTACTGTTATATTGGTTTATTAATCATATACAATCTTATTAACACAGGCAATGTGCTAATCAACGTTGGCCCAACAAAATCTGGAAAAATCAGTCCAATATATCAAGAGCGCTTGATAGATGTTGGTAAATGGTTGAAAGTTAATGGCGAGGCAATATATGAATCATCTCCATGGAATGCATGTCAAAATGATATTAATCATCCACATATTTGGTAATTTTCTGTATCTTTATCACATTAATAACCATAAAATTTTCCTAGTTGTAATGTTTTATATTTATATTTAGCTAAATGTTCCATCGTTAAAAAATAATATGTAAAGAAATTTAAAAAATTAAAGATGTTAACTAATATCAACACTACAACTAAAACACAATTATCAACTGGTAGATTACAACTATTGATTTCTTCTAGCTTCTCTCCATCTGTACACACAGACAATTGCACAACTCATCACCAAGTCTGTGCCTCTTCAAGTAGCCTCTGCCAGTTGGCCCTATCCTATGCAGCAAATACTCCAGCCCCGCGCACTTAGAAGAAAGAACCTATACAATACTTGGTTCTTTCGTCATCTCCATGTCTCACCTAATTTGATGGGTTCATATATCCTCCTCAATATCCCTCTTTCGAACAGCAAGAGTCGTTTTTCATCTGCCTTCTTAATGACTCATGCCTGCGATCCATAAATTAGTACCTCTCCATCTGTAGCTAACCAAATCCCTAACAGGTCTTTAATCATTATGAACTGTCAGGAGTCTCAAAACTTCTCAAACTAAGGGCATACTGGCTCTTTCACAAAGTGACAATCCCCATGACTTAATTTTTTCATCATACTTAAATTGATAATTATAGTTTGTCATTATATATATATATATATATATATATATATATATATATATATATATATATATATATATATATATATATATATACAGTTATTGTTTTTCTTAATTGTCAGTAAAATAAAATAGAAGATTATTACTTTGTATAATTTACTTATATTTTAATTTATATAACACAATGAAAATGAATTGAGATGTGTCTTATTGGTGATGTTCATGGACCTTTGTTTAAATATTTCATCTCTTTATATCATACCTTGTTATAAAAATATTTGTATTACTATATAACCCCACTTATTATTATTGATTTATTAATAGTGTATTATCTTTTTAATAATGTTTTTAATTGACAGGTACACAACTAAAAATGATGGAAAGGAATTATACATAATATTCTTGAGGTGGCCTAAAACTGGTTTCTTGTATTTATCATGTCTTGAAAAAACAGATGATTCTGAAAATACAATGCTGGGCTTACCTGATGTTAAGATAAAGGTGATATTGTTATTTCTTTAACATATTGACTGCCTGGACCATAGCATGTTATGCTCTGCACTAACATGTTATTTCTGAGTTGTTTGCTCTTCATGTCATGGCCGTAGCACGTAAGATTCAAATCATTTCTACATTAAAGGACCCTATCTACTCCAAGCTAAATTCTTACAAAACAGTGATAAAATTAAAATATAATAGTTTTATTTTTCCAATTGGCTTCACATATCTTGTAACATATGGCCACTTGAAATAGGATTCGTAACCTCCGGAAGGGGGTGATACATCATTATCAAAGTTTTTGAGGGGTAGCACATTTAGAATCTTTGGAGGGAATCAATTTTAAATCCTAACAAAAAAAAGAATTATTACAGATTGTAAGATTCTACATGAACTACAATTTAATTTTTTTTTTTCCCCCTTCGTTGCCTTTTACGGGATTTCAACTTGTAATTATTATTCCATTAGTAGGTCCAGTTATCTGGTTGCCAGGCAACACAGTTTGCTAGAATAGATAATAAATAGTAAATAATAAATAGAAAATGATAAATAAAAATAAAATATATATGAGAATAAATAAAACGCATGTAAAATAGTTTTTAACAGTTTTAAAAAAAATGTGGTGCCACATTTTGGCATATTCACATAGGCAGTCAAGTTGTTAAGAAATTCAGATTGTTTTCAATAATAATTTTGTTTATAAATTGATTTCATATTTCAGGGGATACTAACTGATGAAGGTATTTATAAAATTATATTGCCGAACAAAGAATTGATCGAGACTGATTGGGGATGGACTATAAAAATGAGGTATACTTAATATAATTTTTATTATAATGTAATTTATTTGGTTAAAATAAACCTTTTTTAATCTATGCTTATATTTAAAAATTTTACAGCATAAAATTGAAAGATGGATAAAGGCTTCAGCCCGAAAGCCCCCCCCTCTCCCCGTAGATCCCGCCTGTGGCTTGTGGTGCAAAAAGTTTGGAGACCCCTAGACGATAGTCAGATAAACATCAAATAGCTGCTGATTGATATCATTCACAATAATAATTGCTAATGTAGTTATTTGATGTTTTTCCATCGCACTATATCTCTCTCAACTGGAAATATTTTATATTTGTTTTTTGTTGAAATAATAATATCATTATTTTTATATTTATTCCCTTTGCCTGATCCTGTTTATTTTCACACCTAAAAAGACCATGGCTATTATGTACCCATTAATAGAAAAATCTATGAAATTTCACTGATATTATTTTCTTTGGACAATTTAATTTTATGTTAAATTATTATTTTTTTATTAATCACTTTTTTGTTATGTTTCAACATCTGGAGTTAATTTGTAAGTTGGGTCAATTTCGCAAACTAGTGTTTCAGTAACTGTTTCTCCAGAACAATAGGTTGTGTTGCTGGAATATTAATCAGCTTTATTGCTAAACAAACTAAACAATTACATTTCATTTATTAAAAATAATAGAGCTGAATATTGTTTTATTTATTTTTTAATGAAGCAGAAGTTAATTTTTGAATTAATTAGTAAAGTTGCTGTTTTATTTAAGAAGAGGACTATGAAAACAGTTTTTTTTTTAATCTTCATCATAATATATTGTTTACTTTAAAATATATAAACCTTTCTGGTTAATTACAAATTCAACAGTTTTCAGTTAAATAATTTTAATATTTCATTTTGAAAAAATCTTAGGTTTCTCCAAAAGTATGGCAGAAATCTTAACAATTATTTTGAAAGTAAAAATACTTCCATGAAAAATATTTTAATAGTTTGTCATTCTGTCAAATCAAAGGCTCATATAATTATATTTATTTTGAAATATATATATTAATTTTTAAAATATGGCACTCATTATCTTTCTCTTATTCTGCGCCTGAGATTTTAATATATTTACCCAGTATGGTAGAGAATTAGTTGGTGTTTTTAAAAACAAACATTATTTTTTATCTACTAATTTCATATTTAGGTAATTTTTTTTTTTATTATAATCATTGTGGATGTTGCATATTGTAAGAACTACTCATATTTTTATGGATGACCCTTGTTAAGTGAATTTCAATTTCTAAAGCCAATTAAAAAATTTACATTAAATATCTTTGCACCACACCTTTTTTTTTAAAATATTGTGCTGAAATTCTATTAAGACACTTTTTTCCCAATATTTGTCTTCACTATTTGTTGTTTATGTTTTAATACCATAAAACTCTGAGTCTCATGATTAGAAATGTTGTTTATTCCACCATTTTCTTCTCTGATACATTGAACCTATTATTTTGCAGACATTTAATATTATATTTATTATATTATTCAGCAGCTATATTTTTATCATCAGAATAAAATAGAAGGCCTTCCTTTGACAAAATGTTGTGAACTCCTTAATCCCATCAGAGTATGCCTTGTAGCTTCACAATTAAGGGAAAGTATGGGGGTTTGATAATATTATATCACATTTCCATATTCAGTAAGAAGCTATTAAAATAAGAAAACTTGGTTGTTCCAAGGATTAAAATGGTTACAAATAACACCTTAGTTCACAAAATAAGACCAAATATACCAACAATTAACTTTATTCTAATGACTTTAAAATTAGAATCACAGTACAAAGTACTATATAAAATTTATATTTACAAAACTATAGTTCATATAATACATTTTTCTAGATACATTACTAAACCTAAAGAAACAGCATTCAAACAAAAATTAAAATAAAATAAATAATTACAATGCTTTTTAATCATAGGTACATTGTATATTACAAAATTGATGACATCCATCCAAAATAGTGAAAAATATTTACAAAAACTTAACATGATAAACTAATTTACATAATTTGTTTAATAATTAATTAGTCTTCTAATATTATTTTCTAAATAAAAAATAAATAAGTCTATTTATAAATAGAAACAACAATTATTTTAGAAACAATATAATAAATAAATTGTCCGTTCCACTTGCATTTAAGAATTATTCAACTGAATTCAATAAATTTCAAATGAGGTTCAAAAATTTTTAAGAACTATTTTGGCACAAAATAAAAATAGAAAATAGCCAGGAAAAATCTTACAACAATTAAAATTCTTGTTTACATTAATTTCACTCAGTCTTTGAAAAAAAAATTTATAGACATTGAAGATGGGATTTTTTTTTCTGCCCTAATTCTCATTTGAAAATTACAAAATTAACTCTTAAAAACCTAAAACAAATCTAATACGTAAACTAGATTTCATATAGTAATACAAAATATATTTAAAAATAAAATGCATTAGAAAATATGCTTTAGAACTTTTCATATAATCATGAATAACAAGGGATTTAAGTAAATTTGATTTAAAATAATAAATTTGTCCATTTTTATTGAAATTTAGAATTTAGTTTTAAAGGTTGAAACTATAACTAAAATTTGTCCGTTATAACTAAAAAATTTCAATCATTACACCAATTAAAATTTCTATAAAAAATAATTAATAATTTAAATGACATTGATTTCTAGAAGACTTATTTTCCTCAACTACAGAACTTTGTTGTAATCAAATATATAAGTTCATCCTGTCGAATTATTATGAAGTGAAAAAGTAAAGGTAATTTTATTCTAAAATCTTCGAGAAAATGTTTAAGTTTAAGTACACTATAAAAAATATATTTAATTTTTTAAGCAAGATTGTGCAGTTTCCTGAGAGCTCTCTTGTCTTCCCACTTCTTAATGAGAGGAAGAGGATAACACATCACTCCAGAACAAAGGAGCAGTGCACCTGAGAGATAAAAGGAAGCATCGTAGCTTCCAGTCATATCCATAAAAGCTCCTAAAAAAATTTAATCAATTTTTTAGTTCATAAAATTAAGATAAATTATTTCTTATTGAAAGTATAATTTTCAGTATTATTTTTCTATGATGTAAGTGATTATCTTAAGGTAGTTACCAGCAATCGGAGAACCAATAGCTGCTGCTAAACCTTGGAACAAAAGTAAAAATCCAAATGCATTTGTTAATTTTTCAAGTCCAATCAGCTCTACTGCGATGATGGAACGCAATGAAGCCCAAAAAGCTAAGCATAAATAAAATTTATTAAATATACTATAGGTTTTCAAAATGGAGGAATATAAATGTAAAGATGCAACTTACATATAGAAAGACCAAAAATGGCAGCAAAACAGAACTGATAAGTTGTGCTATAGGAAAAACCACTGGCCATGGTAGCAATACCACCGATTGTCAAAGCAACATTGTTGAGCATGAGGCTACTGATTTGAGGAACCATAGTAAGAGTGCCACAGACGATCCTTCCAAGAGTGTTCGTTATGCCGATGGCAGATGCTAAGAACATGATCACTGCTGGGTCCATTCCGTTAATTTTTCCTCGATCTAGTAGAAGTAATTATGTATTATAAAAGTAACAAAAAAAAATTAAATATTTATATATTGGTCCATAAAAGTATGTTATTCTTATATTTCTTATTATTTTATGAAACATCTAAACGCAATTAAGACCCCTTTTCTTATTATTAGAACATTATTAATTCTTATTTGGAACATTTTGCTTAGAACATTCTATGAAAAAAACTTTAAACCTTACATATAGGGTGTTCCATAAGTTTAGGAACATATGTAAGGGATAGTCAGAAGGAGGGTCAAAATGGACTATGTGGCAGTTGAGAGGTGCAAAGTGTGAACCGCTTCAGGTGCCTGTCATACGGATAAATAAATTAAGATAAAATAATCTTTATCTTCATTTTTCCTTTATTGCTAATTGAACAAGTGGCATCATTTAATTACTAATGATATATGAAATGTTACAGATGTTAATAATTTGTAGAAATGTAATTTTTTACTTATCCATCAGTTTGAACTTTAAATTCAATCTTCAACAAAATTGAGGAGAGGAAGAAAAAAAAACATTAACAAATTCACAATTTACGCTTATTACAGAGGGGTGAATTTCATTTCGTTAAATAAATGTAATTTTAATCGAAGTATCTTTAAATGTTTCTTCTGTTATCATACATAATCAACAGGGATATGAAAACCTACCTGCAATATACAAGAAAGGAGTGAACATGCCCATCATGGTGAAGAAGCCAGCAAGGGAGAAAATCATGAAAGATGGTGACATAAGCAGAGCAGGATCCAACATGGTGGCCAAGGTACGGCGAACAGCCTCAGGGCACAGTTGGCACCCTTCTTCTTCTTCCTCAACATCCCTCTTTGTTGGAAGGCGGGTGACGGACATGGTGTAGTCAAGGCTGCTACCCTGTAAACAATATTTTTGTATCAGCTCTACTAGTTTCATTTTAAATAATAGATTGTGGTGTTTCAACTATATCAAGCTCAGGGGTGAAAGTTAAATTTCTTTAAAAATGAAAAGCCATCTGACTCAACTAAGAGGACAGAAAAAAAATCTAAGAAACTCTAAGTTCAAAGGAAGTCCATATAATGTATATTAAATGTATAATATACATATTAGAAACCCAGGTTCTAAGAATTAATAAATAGAAACATTTTTTATATTATATATCTTAATTGTTCCCCAAATATTTGCTTGAGGAAAATAGTCGAATTTGATGACGGTCGTCCTTGATAATTTTCATTTTGCACAGTTGTTAGTAAATATTAGGAGTCGATGGTTGAATATATTCCTTCCATTGTCAACCAGCTATATGGCACCAAAGCGATGCGCAGTTTAAATCACGCATCGAATCAATTGTGAAACCTATGTACCTATACAAGCTATCATACTCTGCTAGTTATTGTATTACTTACTAACATTAATTGCCTGTGCTTCGTTAGAAAAAAAAACTGTTCAAAGTCCAGTTAGGATTTTTAATTTCAAATACCTACATATGAAATATCTGGTAAGGAAAAGTATTACGACCGTAAAAAAAAAAAAAAAAAAAAAAAATCGAATCCAAGTTAAAACGAAAATATGCATTTTATGTTCTCTGGATATAAATAACACAAAGTCTCACAAAATTGCGTGCAAGTGAACAGTCAAGCTCGAAAATGAAAAGTTGTAGCAAACTGAAATTTATGGCAGGTAAATACATATTTGCCTAGGATGTTGCTGCAAATTTTCCCTCAACATGATAATAGTATGTGCTGCATAACCCTTTTTATCAAAATATTATCATCTGCCTAAAACAATAAGTTTTTAAAGCCTAAAAAGTTTTTATACATCCTATACAACCTAAAAGTTTTTTATTTACGAAAATTCTCAGAAATGGGGTGTTTTCCCATTAAACTAATTAGTTAATTTAATGAGGTACTAAAATCTCATAAATACCCATTTGCTTCCACTTGAGTTGTAAGATAATTTGATCACAAAATCGATAAAAAAAGGTGGCCTTCAAAAATATTGGGCCGTTTAGCCTGTATAACCTCGTTATTATGATGGTCACACCAAACGACCCAATATTTTTGTAATATTTTTTGTCGATTTTGTGATAAAATTATCTAACGATTTAAGTGGAAAGCTAATGGGTGTTCATGAGTTTTCAGTGCCTAATTAAATAAACAAAATTTCCCATCTCCAGACCGAAAAGTGCCAATTCCGAGAATTTTCGTAAATAAAAGAGTTGCAGGTCACGACGATAAGATTTTTTTTAATTTATTTGTTTACAAATATAATAATCTGTCATGTGGGCAATAATTATAATGAGATATGAACACATTCACACCATATATACAGAAAACATAAAATTAACAAAAGTAAAATAATAACTAAATAATAATCAATAACTATATACAATAAAACATGAAATAACCTAAAGATAAGTAAATGGATGAGATGGAGATATTCAGGCTATTTAACTATTTTAGGCGGCGGATGTTAATAATTTGATAAAAAGGGGTCTATACCGCGGACAATTCTTCTTCCCTTCCGTTGAATTCCGTGCAACTGACCCTCTAAGAGCAGACATTTTATTATTTAAGTAAGATGATGGGTAAAAGATGTGTGATGCGCACGCCGCAGCAGATTTTTAAAAATTAGTATAGAATAGCGGAGAAAAAGAGAACATATCTGAAACATGTGTCAAATATTCAGTTAAGCGCAATTAATGGAATTAATGGATTTTTCAAAACACAAAAACAAGTTTGATCAAGAGAAATTAAGACGAATAAGTGAGTTTCGGAAGGTTAATGTAGCCATATCTGTCAAGCATTAGCTCTTCAACATTATATATTCCTTCATCCAAGGTTTACAATGAAACAATTCATTCCTAATTCCCAGTGTATCGAAGATTTCTCTCCTCTTGCAGCGGTTCTTAATCGCAACAAAATTTTGAGATATCTAGATGACTTCGGGTGAATGATCTCGAATGGACTATGTTAAGAGTTTATGCTCTCCATAGTCGAAGACGGTTGGCCAGACAACGCCTTCAAGGATTCGTCATTTCTATACAAATTCATCAAACAATCTTCAACAAATCGCTGAAATTGAACACCTCAGCCATCCTATATAATGAGTACGAGCTATAACTAAAGTTAGGCATGCAAATCATAGTTTTTATTAATTTATTTTAATCAGCATAAAAACGGGGAAAAAAAGAAGGCAGGAATCATCATGATATTGGTAGTAGTTCCGTAGCTACCCTATTCATAACGTTAAGGTTGGTAGGGATAAAATTCGGTATAAGATAATATCGAAGATAATACTCATTCATTGTGTTCATCGTTGAACAGAATATCAAAAACAATATCAGAATTAACCACTCTATCAGATAGAGGCGATCTGTTGATGGACCGATTATAACATTATCGGTCTTTTTGCTGAGTGAATATTACTGAATGATTAGCAGTAGTAAATGCTTTTTCAGTTAAATCACGATCATCATTTCCCTTTTTATCGAATTTAAAATAAGTTTTCATAATCATTAGAGAGAGTTTTAAATGTAGGTAGTTCTCGAAAGGTAGCTCTTCTTTAATGAAAGGAAATGTTAGATAAAAGGAACATCGAAACAATACTCTAAAAATTCTTGAAAAATGATAGCTATTGAATAATAATATTGAATGTAGGTAGTTAGTTACCTTCTGTTTTTCCAAAGTAATTATCGTAATTTTATGAAAAAAAAAAGTTTCCGGCTGAAGCCCCCCCCAAAATTAAATCCTGGATCCGCTAGTGCTCATATCCAAACCTGCAACCAACATCGCGACAGTAAGTCGATGTCATCTTCCTTCCTCGGACAATATCAGACATACTTGTTATCGCTATATTCTGTAAATTTTGTTTTAATGTTTGTGGAGTTTGTAGTGAAATCTTTAGCAGTTGTGATGAATATGTTTTCTTGAACATTGAGTAAGTGAAAAGTCTGTTTTTTTAAAATGATTTTTTTGTGATTTGTTGAGAAACGAATGTCCAAAAAGCTTTTAAAAGGCATGTATAATAAAATAAGTATCCAATCGTGGATCATTCATGGAGAATATAAGAAAGTAGTCTTAGTCTTCTTGCTAGGTATAGGCTTTTCCTTTTCTCATAATATATAACTTATAAGCTAAAACTGTATCAATAAGCATTTCATATCATATCACAATATTTACATTTAGAATTTATGTAGATGAGTATGATTGCAATTACATGCAAATAACAAAAAACCTGGGAAAACTTACATGTGAATGGTATTGAGGAAGCCTATGAAGACTGGCTTGGAAGAAGATGTCGTCTCTGTAAAGAGGTCGGACCCCAGTGTTAGGTCCCTTCGAGATAGTGTTCCGCCGCGACTTGATACTCTTGTAGCTGCCGGCGGAATCTGCTCTCCGCCTGTACTTGACGGATATACTGCCACGCCTCCTGTCATGGTGGTTCTCCCTAGGCTTCTTCGGTATGTAGAAGACGTCGTCGTGGAGGTGTTCGTTAAAGTTCTCGTCTTCCCCCTGGAAGTCCTTCAGTGGATCATATTCCACCGACTGACATTTCCTCTTGAGGGTATACGCTGGCAAGTGTAGGTGCTTTTCGAAATTGCCAGAGAATACGGTTATCGTTAAATTATTGTCATACTTCACCCTATGTTCGCTCTTAGGTTTACGCCTAATTTCATCAAGGGACTGGTTAGATTTTGAGAGGCTGTTGGTGCTGCTGTGAAGAGCTTCAATGGCCCTAGGATACAGTATGTTATGGTTAGCTTTTAAGAACTTCTTGCTTGTTTCAAAAGGCTCTTGGGCCATAATTTCAACTTCGTTGTCCATACTGAACATAGAATCCGTTTTCATTAATTGATCCCTTGCCATCTTGATCCTATGAAGAAGAGGGACTTCGGTGCGCTCTGCTTCTTCTTCTGTTTGGTTATTATTTACAGACATATGGATCGGTTTCAAAGGTCGGTAGAGACTAGCAAACACCGCGCAATTCAGGACTATTCCTGGAATAAATTATAACCGTTAAGAGTTATTCCTGATTGTAAATCAAAATTCATTTAATGTACAGGCTTAAATTTAAATTCTTGATGAAGTGAAACTCTTAATAAAGATAATCCGAAGGAAACATACCTGCCTGGATGAGAATGGCCCCTCGCCAGGTGAAGTGCTCGATGAGGAGCGTCGAGATGGGGCCGATGATGATGGTTCCGATTCCAGAGCCAGTGACCGAGATGCCCGTGGCCAAGGCTCGCCACTTCTCGAAGTAGAAGCCCGTTGTGATGACCGCGGGTACATAAATCATTCCAAAGCCAATACCTGAAATTAGGTAACTCTTCAGCAATGTTTCTACAAAGATATCTAAACAGTTTTAAATGAAAGTAGCTAAAGTATCGAGGTTGTATTTGTAGAGAGAAATATTCCAAATATTCAAGAAGAAGATCCTCAATAAGTCTAAGAGCATTTTCATAAAAAAGAATCGATAAACAAATGAGCTCTTTAAAATATTTAATTAAGGAAGTAGTTTAAAATTTTAATCAAACTGTTATTTTTTGCTGTATCTTTAAATATTTTTTCTATATTATTTATTTGGTATATCAGAATGGAATGTCTTATGACCGAAATGTAGTTAAAAACCACCTACCACACCTTCCTTACTCAAATCTTTATCGATATATGACATTCTAAAATTTGTTTTAAGAACTAGTTTATTTTCTTATAACAATCTAAATTTCGTTAATGCAAATAAATATTTCTCTATTTTGTCACCATTTTCAGAATGAGTTATTTCTATTAACATGGTTATACAAATTTTCTAAATACCAGCTTCGTAAATATTGTTATTTGGAGTTAATGTGCTGCGGCATTCACTAGGAAAGGACAAAAATGGAGAGACTTCATTCGGGCGGCCGAATTAGGGGAGGAGAGATTTGTTCCTGCTTTTGATATTTTTTTAAAAAACGTATTGCCTCAAATCATGTGAAAACGGTTGAATTTTATAAGTGAAGGTAAAACATAGGCTGGGAAAATTAAACTTGCTTTTTCTTAAAAATTAATGTTCCTTCCTAGATTTTGCTCATTGATTCAGCAAAAATACAAGCGATTGTAATTGTCATAATCAGAAAACCCCAAAATTCTCTCCATTGCGATTAAACTATGTACTTGGCGAGTCTCATAAAATATAAAGTTTGTGGTTAAATTGGTATATTATATATGTTATCATAATTTATTTTCGGGTGGAGTTGCAACACTCGGAAATGTTCTGAATTCCATCTACAGATCATGTGCTCTTGGGGCTAGCTTCAATCTTTTTGACCAACGGAAGATAGTATAAATAAATAAGTGCACAAGGTTTAATAAATTCATAAAATTATCAAGTTATGAATCCAAAAAAAATGTTTGGATCTCATACAGTAACAAGAATTGAGCATTTCTAAAAAGTTTTCAAATTATCTTGTTTAGTCTGGCTGTTATGGTCTCAAGAAGCTATATTTTCCAACGTATTGGTTGCTAGCTCATGATAAATTCAACATAAATCACAAAAATGGTGATAGAGATTGAGCAATATTCATTTACATTAGAATGTCGTGTTCTTGGGAAATCCTTAAAAATATTATTGCGAGCGATTGGTGGAGCTCAACTATATTTCCAATAAACAAACTCCCAGTTACTGACTTTTCATATGATCCAGTAAGTATACATGGCATATTTATATATACTTAAAAAATATATTTATCATCATTTTTATTTATTGTTAACGATTGCTCTGATTTGAAGAACTGATCAAAAGAATTTATTTGACTTTCCGCTTTAACTCGTAATTTTTCACTTTAAGATTATTTTTTTGTTCTTGTTCTTACTTACAATTAGTTATTTTTCTGTATAATATGTTTTATATATAAGTCTAATATCAACTGTTCCTCTGTAGTGCAGAATGTATTATCTGAATAAAAACAATTTAAAAAAGGAAAAGAGAATTTTTTCTTGTTCTTGTTTCGTATTTTTTTTCTTCAATTTTCCATACCGTTCTTCAAACAAATGTTAAGTTTTTTATTGCTTAATAAATCAATAATTATAAATACTTTTACGAATTTACTCCTTAGTGAGGATATTACAGAATTATATAGAGACATTTTCACCATACATGCATAAGATAATATTAAGTTAATTACTTTAAATATAAACATTTATTTATATATTCACCCCCAATGAAGCCATAAATGAGCCACATAGTTTCAATGTTGGTCGCATAGCTGGCAGCAGCGAAGGAGCCACTGGCGATCACCGCTCCAAGGATCCCAGTGAACCTGAAGCCGTACCTGTTGGCGATGGCGCTTACAAAAGGCCCTGAAATCAATCAATGATTTAATAAATATTTTTTATTGTAAAGAATAGTAATAAATTAGTCATAAGTAAAATTGCAAGAGGTAGGTCTTGCCACAACGAGGGTTTGAAATCGATAATCAAAAAAACTCGGATTAAAATTGTTATCTTAAAATTTTACAAACAGTTTCATGATATTTATTAAGAGCGTTTTTATTTTTGATCATAAGTGGTAACTATTTTAGTGATAAGTGATAATCATAATCCTGATCAATATTTTTGAATACCATTTCTACAATTAACAATAATAATAATTCTTAAGCGGTACTTTTTACTTTCACTTACCTATATATGTAATATATAGTAAGGAAAAGTATTGTAATCGTGAAAATTTTCGAATCTGAGTTTTCAACGGAAATAAACGTTTAAAACGGAAATAAACGGTATCCTGAGTCCAAATAACCGATAATCTATTTATCGTATATCCAAATAAAAGTAATCTTAAAGTGAAAAATTACGAGTTAAAGCGGAAAGTCAAATAAATTCTTTTGATCAGTTCTTCAAATCAGAGCAATCGTTAACAATAATGAGGGAATATCGGAAAGAAAGGGCAGATCTTTGGCACAAAGGAGATCAATTTTCACCAGGACAATGCACCTACCCACACCGCGCTATTTGTGAAGTAGTTTTTGACCAAAACGGCATGACAGATTGTTCACCTACACTCGAAAGGACCTTGAGACTATTGAGGAGGTGATACAAAAATCATTGGAACGACTAAAGGATATCCTAATAAGTGAATTTAAGAACAGTTTTGAACAATAGCACAAGCAATTTCAGAAGTCCATTATAGCCATTACTGTAAATGTCATCAAAACTGATAAGAGGGCATATTTTAAGACATTTTTAAGGTTGGGGAGAGAGAAGAGATATATGAAATCTTATTATAGGTATTTGTTTGATGAGGCGCATGAGTTGATAAAATTGTCAGAAAGTATAATTTAATTGCCAAAAATAAAATTTAAAAAAAAATTATTTAGAACTTGTTTATTGAGAAATATTACACTCTGTCTCAAAGCACATTTAAATTAATGAGTAAGGAAAATATAGAGCCTTGGTAACGATTGGCTCAAGCACGCAATTCAATTTTAAAATGAATGATGATTTTTTTTGATTTTTTTCTGTATAAGGCTTATGAGCAGGAATTTAGATATATGAAGTGATGAGTAAGTATTAGAAGAATAAATTTCAGAATTCAGCAGAGTTAGAAGATTATAAAGGGGTCAATGTATTTGGATTAAAGATTATGTTGGTTTAAGATGAGAATACCTGCTTCAAGTTCTGTGATAAGCCAACTTAAGCTCAGTCAGGTGTGAAATGTGAGAATACGGAAAATAAATCGATGAAACTCATTAATTAATCTTTATAACTTAGTTTCCTATTGAACTAAGGACTCCATCGAAAATCTTAGAACTTCATTGCTAGTATCAGAATCGAACCATGTTCAGCTACTCCTTATCATTATTAAATAACGCAGTAAAGCGTTCAATACCGCCAAACACGCAGTTGCAGAAGACTTTTAAGTTATAACCGCCAGTAATGAGTCGGCTGGTGTTTAACTGGAACATCGTGGGAGGTTGTGACACACAGAGTTTTCAAACACACCACGACCATGCCATTAATAACTATCGCCTCGGACAATCCCTCAAGGCGAACTACTACCATTAGGAAGGCAGTGCTATTCCGGTTAGACGGGTATTGGGACAGTACGGTCACTATCCTCTGTATACTAGGTCGTCTGCATGACGTCGGAGAAATAGCGGTAGGAAAACGGAGAATGGAATTAGAATGAAGATAGCTTTGCCTTAGCACTCCTATCATAAACCTATTATTACTGTCATAATACCCGAAATTAAATAGAGATAGAATAGGTAATTTACCAAGTAAACACAAATAAAATTGATTTTAAGTTAAATAATTATGCTAAGTAAAAGACACACATTTGACATTACATTATAATCAATTGAAAACTAAATAAAATTTATTTTATAATTCCATATTAGTCCAAAACATTTTACTGTGGACAACCACGTAAGTAGGGCTCGAGAGGAACTTCCCGCAATGATTTTAATTTATTCCCTAGAGCAGGGGTCTCCAAACTATGGCCGGCGGGCCGGGTCCAAAGATTCTTAGATTACATGGTAAAAAAGTAAAAATATAAACATAGTAAATCACTCAACCACGAGGTCACTCCATCATTTAGTGCATTACTTGTTAAATTCACTAGAGGTAAAATTATTACGTTAGTGAAGTGATTAACCTTATCTGAAGAAGCATGCTGGTGACGCACCGGATAGACCTCCATAAAGCCGAGGAAATCGGGTTTTAGACGGGGTAGGTCTGGTCTCAGTTTATGTTTACACCATAAGTAGCTTAACAACATTTTATTTCCATATTCACACGATGCAAAAGAATTGGTAATATTATACAACAAAAAAAAAACTTTAGTTTTAGAGGTCATTTAATCCTTCTAATGAAATAATGTAAATATAAAACTTATATTCAAATTTCACCACCGATTCAGCCCACAATAAACATTTTTAATGTACCATTCAATAATCCACGTTCTGAGAAGTGACTTAAATTTTAATATTCAAATTTAAAAAAAAATCTTCTCTACAGCTAGCTTTAAATACTTCCCTTAAATAGATCTCGCTGTTAAAAAAAAAAAAAAAACGGACATATTCCTGAATTTTATTAGATGATTTTCAAATAATAAGCAGATTAGTTTAAATTTCTTTCACAACACTTATCCGGAATGAAAATTATTATTTAAATTACAATTACTAGAGAGTAAATTATTTAAATTAATGGAAAATATCGATTCAATGTAAAAACCTTCCTGACAAAAGTATCACAGACGATGTCATACTGCGACCTTTTTTTTTAGAAAGACTTTTTTTTTATTGCCCTTAGAACAGCGTAGGATCAAGTACCCACTCCATAGAGCGAAAAGTAACAGAAGAATCCTCCCTTCCGGTCCTAAAAACGATCCACTGCTAATAGAAAGAAATATAAAAGATTTGCCTAGGAACGGAACTGAAAATAGATTAATTTTCTTTATTAATTAATTTTCTTTATTAGATTAATTCCAACTCGAGTCTGAACTCGAGAGTTGGAAACCGTCATATATCCATACCAAAATTAAATACACGAAGATAGCAAATACTTGATTTTTATTTGTAACGATCTGTATGTAAACCTTCCTTATATTCCTTAAAAAACATTAATTTTTTGTTCATTATCAATCAAAATACTATAGAATGTCAAACACTCCTATCAGTTTATATACATTCCTCCTCCATCCATATAACGTTCCATGCGAATCTTTCATTGTCTAAAACAGTCTGGATATTTTCTTCTGTCAGCTCCTTTAGGACGCGTGCCTCTTTCTTATTCACTCCTTCAACGGACTTAAATTTGATTCAAGATTTGACGAATCATGTTTTTTTACCTCTGATTTTGAATAGAAATTCCAATCCATCTCTGGAAGAGCCTAACTTTATTTAAAGCCAAAAAGCTCGATGAGTAAATCGAAATTAAAAACAATAAGATTTTTTTTTTCGATATTCTTGGCATTTTGCATCTTCGCTGAGTTCATAAATGTCAAACTATTAATCAACATTAATAAATTCACGTAATAAATAAATTAATAAATCTTGCTCAAAGAGAAGGCGGCACACGTCTTGAAGGAGTCGATAGAAGAAGACTTCCAGCTAGTGTTTCCCGAAATCGGTCTTGGCCTTGTAATATGCAAGATCAAGATCAAGGCCAAAACTGGTAAATAAAAAAATCGTTTTTGTGAATAAAATTGATGGCAGAATAGTAACTAATACTTGGTATTCTTAGCTACTATATGTAAAGAATTGATATAACAATATACTTTTGCATTTAACTCTTCCAATTTTTCATTCAATCTTAGTTAGATTTCCCTTATCTGAAAAATTACAATAATATGTCCATAGTAATAGGCTAATAGGTAAATGCATGACTGTTGTGAGGCTCTTGCGCAAGACCAAGACCCGCCTTGGTCTCATATTTGGGCAACACTACTTCCAACACTGTTTCAGACTAAGGAAGATTCCGATGGAGATTTGTAGGAATAGAGAGGTGTATATTGAGGTTAATAATGATTAAATATTTATGAAATTTAAATATGTTTTACAGCATCAGAATTGTTAATTAATAACCACAACTCGCATGAGGGCCAAGTGGGCACGCGTGTGCAAAGGTTGCCCGGCAACCTGATAAACTAAAAATTACAAGATCAAATTCCAGTTTCGGGGAACTTTTAACTCTGGCATTAATCCTCAGCTCTCACCCCGCGTCTGGGAAAAAACAGAAACATACTCGAAAAGGCGAGGAAGGGGAGGAAGAAACAAACTCATCTTGTAAGAACAAGTGGCAAAATAATGTAGAAATAAGTTAATCCATTATGATGTGCAGGAATTAATTTTCTTTAATTCTCGCTTCTGGATTAAATTTTCGCTCCTCCATCCTCTGCAAATGTTCCAGCCAAGTAATCCTACTCGTCTTGATGCAGATGACAATATCCGGGGCCTTGCATAGATCACGGAGCTTCTGATTGTTCCTGTGCCTCCACCGATCTCTCTCCCTCAAGGAGCCAAAAATCCTTTTCAGGACTTTCCTCTCCCATACGTTCAGTACTAGCTCTAACTTCCTGGTGAGGACCCATGTCTTACTGTCACCACTGGTCTAATAACGCTGACATATACGGTCTTCTTTAACTACCTGGGCAAAACCTTTGACCTAAGTACCATGCGTGACTTTATTTCTGTCTTTTCGTTTACATTGGCCTTAAGGTATTTAAACTCCTGTACCTGCTCGCAAAAGTATTCTACAATTCTAAGACCATTTCTTGTCGCACAATCATCCCGGGAGGTCTTCATATATTTAGTTTTGTTTTTATTAATGTTGAGTCCTGCTATTTTTGAGGCCTGTTC